GCCACAAGCAGTCCACCTCATTCGGCCTCCCAAAGTGCTGGTATTACAGGCATGAGCCACCTCGCCTGGCCCCTTGCACATTTTTAAGTCAACATTTAACATTTGTAATCATTTGATAGCATTGTAAAGGGTATGCTTTTCAGGGAATTGCAAATACATATTACAAATTACCTGACTTTTTATTTATTTAATTTATTTGTTATTATCATTATCATCATTATTATTTTGAGACGGAGTCTCACTCTGTCACCCAGGCTGGAGTGCAGTGGTGCAATCTTGGCTCACTTCAACTTCTGCCTCCCAGGTTCAAGTGATTCTTGTGCCTCAGCCTCCCGAGTAGCTGGGACAGACGCCCAGTTAAGGTTTTTTTTAATTTATTTTATTTTGTTTTTTAAATTTTCTCTAAGTCATCTTTGCCTGTAAAGGTTTTCATATTTTTAGTAGAGACAGGGTTTCACCATGTTGGCCAGGCTGGTCTCGAACTCCTGACCTCAAGTGATCCACCCACCTCAGCCTTCCAAATGCTGGGATTACAGGCATGCGCCACTGTGCCTGGCCATATCACTTTTTAAAATTAAAAACAATTTGTTATGCTGACTCTGTCAGAGACTGCACATCACTGTAAGTATAGCAAATGGGCCGGGCACAGTGGCTCACGCCTGTAATCCCAACACTTTGGGAGGCTGAGGCTGACGGATCACAAGGTCAAGAGATCAAGACTGTCCTGGCCAACATGGTGAAACCCTGTCTTTACTAAAAATACAGAAATTAGCCAGGCGTGGTGGCATGCACCTGTAGTCTCAGTTACTCAGGAGTCTGAGGTAGGAGAATCGCTTGAACCTGGGAGGTGGAGGTTGCAATGAGTGGAGATTGCACCATTGCACTCCAGCCTGGGCAACAGAATGAGATTCTGTCTCAAAAAAAAAAAAAAAAATGTGTAGCAAATGGAGTATAATGCCATAGAACTTTCATATCTGTTAGCATCCTTTGAAAAATATGTGAACAAGCCCTTGAACAAGTGTTAGAAACACTGTTCAAGTGTTTGTATTTCAAACCCAGTGTAGTGTGGGTTATTCTACACTGGGTTTGTATTGCAATTAATCAAAACTAGGAATATTGACAACAATTAAACATAAAAAGTTGGCCAGGCGTGGTGGCTCATGCCTGTAATCTCAGCACTTTGGAAGGCCAAGGTGGGCTGATCACTTGAGCTCAGGAGTTCAAGACAAGCCTAGGCAACGTGGTGAAACCCCATCTCTAACAACAAAAAAAGAGTCATGCATGGTGCACCTGTAGTCTCAGCTACTCCAGAGGCTGAGACAGGAGGATTGCTTGAGCACAGTAGGTTGAAGCTATAGTGAGACATGATTGTGCCACTGCACTGCAGCCTGGACAACAGATGGAGACCCTGTCCCAAACAAACACAAAGATATGAAAAGTAACTTGTTGAAAATGCATCTCTTGGCTGGGCGAGGTGGCTCACACCTGTGATCCCAGCACTTTGGGAGGCCGAGGTGGAAGGATCACCTGAGGTCGGGAGTTCAAGGCCAGCCTGACCAACATGGAGCAAACCTCATCTCTACTAAAAATACAAAATTAGTCAGGTGTGGTGTCTCATGCCTGTAATCCAAGCTACTCAGGAGGCTGAGGCGGGAGAATCCTTTGAACCCAGGAGGCAGAGGTTGTGGTGAACCGAAATTGCACCATTGCACTCCAGCCTGGGCAGCAAGAGTGAAACTCTTTCTTAAAAAAAAAAAGAAAATGCATCTCTTGGCCAGGTGGCTCATGCCTGTAATCCTAGCATTTTGGGAGGCCAGGGCAGGCAGATTACATGAGATTAGGAGTTCAAGACCAGCCTGTCCAACATGGCAAAATCCCATCTCTACTAAAAATACAAAAATTAGCAGGGCACGGTGGCATGCACCTGTAATTCCAGCTACTTGGGAGGTTGAGGCAGGAGAATCGCTTGAATCCAGGAGGTAGAGGTTGCAGTGAGCCAATATTGTGCCATTGCACTCCAGCCTGGGCGACAGAATGAGACGACGTCTCAAAAAGAAAAGGAAAAAGGGAGCCCGGCACAGTGGCTCATCCCAGCACTCTGGGAGGCCGAGGCCGATGGACCAGGAGTTCGAGACCAGCCTGACCAATATGGTGAAACCCTGTCTCTATACTAAAAATATGAAAATCAGCAGGGCGTGGTGGCACGTGCCTGTAATCTCAGCTACTCAGGAGACTGAGGCATGAGAATAGCTTGAACCTAGGAGGCGGACATTGCAGTGAGCTGAGATGGTGCCACTGCACTCCAGCCTGGGACAGAGCAGGACTCTGTCTCAAAAAAAGAAAGAAAGCAAGAAAGAAAATCCATCTCTTAATGGGATGGAAAGGGTTTGCTTCCCCTTGACCTTTGGCAGCTCTAGGAAGGGCACTCTGGTCAGGTCCAGGACAGGCAGGAGATTCATTCTAGGGAGCAGCACATGTTCACCTGGAAACTGATTCTCTTAAAAAACGGGTCCTGCTGACATGCCCTTGGGAAGGTTTGCATGTGCCACCCGGGGTATCCAAGCCATAGGGCATTAAACGATGAAACTTGCCTTCCCGTTCTTCAATACAGGGTTCCCAGAAAGGGAGAAATGTGGGCCTGAATGTTCTTGTGACTGGTGTAGTGACATTTCCAACCCTCCTCCTGCTGAGCATCATAGCCCCACGCACTGGATATGAGCAAGATAAGAACTCAGGTTACTTCCAGGTCTCTGTAAGTTTAGGACTGTGAGGCGGGCACCCGAATAGTCAAAAACCTAAGTGTTAGTTAAAGAAGCAGCCTAGATTCGGAATTAAGAAAACATGATTTTAATTTTTCCGTTTCATGGACAGAACAGCTGTCTACTGATAGTTCCTGCCGCCGGCCGCCAGGTGGCAGAAGGGAACACAGGACCGCAGCCCTGCCCCAGCGGCCGCGCGGGCGGGAAGAGGGGTGGGAGGTAGGTGGGGCCGAGGCCTGGAGGTGAGGTAGGCTTAGGCTGGCAGAGGAAAAACCGGCGAGGTGAGGACTAGTACGGATCTCAGGAGGGGACAGGATGTCCTCAGAACACCACCTTCTGGGTTCAGAATAAAACTGAGGGAATGAGCAAGAGGTTTAAGGAGACAGGCTAAATTGGGGAGAATTCACGGGGAATCAGAGGGTGGAGAGGGCGTGGGTGCCCGGAGATGCCTGGGAGCAGAAGGGCTGGGGGGACCCCACTATCTGTACTCTTCCCGGGGTGGGTCCAGGTCTGGCTCTTCCTGAGGTCGGTGGTCCACCTCAGGGGCAGGCGGCCAGGGGTTTTCTGGGGGCTGGGGTCCTGCCGGCCAGGGGTCATCAGGCCGGGGAGGCTGAGGAGGATCCGTTCGAGGCGGTTCAGGGGGCCAGACTCCAGGTTCAGGCAGGTCTCTCCAGGTACGACTCGGGCTGGGAGGCGGAGGTTCTTCAAAGAGAGGGGGTGCCCCTGGCCAGGGGTCACCGGGGACTGGGGGGCCCTGGGGCAATGTTGGGGAGCCTGCCTCCTCTCGGTCTTCTGTGGGTTGGGGAGAGGGGTGGTCCTTGCTGCCTGAGATGCCTGTAGAGGGGAAAGGTAAGAGGGGGTGAGGGCTTCTCTCCCGCACCCCAGCCCAGCCCAGCCCAGGAGGAAGAGCCTCTCTGGATGGACAGAGCCTGAACTGACCCACAAACAGACCAAAAAAGTCACTCTCAAAGAGCTCTCCATACCTTTGTAAATACTTAACAGATCTTAAAATGGCATTAACACCCACCGCAGATGGATCTGAGCCATTCACTTGACCCACTTTACACTGACCAGACTCTCCAGATAAGCTCCATCACCCCTGGTGGGGATACCCCACAGGCTTTGCCCTCAGGCCAAACTGCACCCCAAAGTGGGCTACACCTTGGTGACCCCAGCACACAGACCCTAGCTTTACAGTGACCCCAGCTCTGAGGAAACTCATCCCCCACACATTAATCCTGACCCATTTCACCACATGGAGCCAGCAAACCATTTCTTATTACTTTTTCTTTTTTTATTTTTTGAGACGGAGTTTCACTCTGTCGCCCAGGCTGGAGTGCAGTGGCATGATATCGGCTCACTGTGACCTCTGCCTCCCAGGTTTAAGAGATTCTCCTGCCTCAGCCTCCTGAGTAGCTAGGACCACACCCAGCTAATTTTTGTATTTTTTAGTAGAAATGGGTTTTCACCATTTTGAACAGGCTGGTCTTGAACTCCTGACCTTGTGATATGCCCACCTCAGCCTCCCAAAGTGCTGGGATTACAATCGTGAGCCACTGCGCCCAGCCAGCAAACCATTTCTGGTGAAAGCCAAAGGCACATTTTGCACCCCACCTCAAGCATCCAGTTCCTCTCCCATCGTGACCATCCCTCATCACCCCAAACTGCACTCCCTGCCTCTGTTCCCGCCTCACCTCCGGCATGCAGGCAAAGGACCAGGATCCCCAGGAGCTTCCAGTTGAGCATCATGGCTGTGTACTGGCCCCCAAAGCTGGGGTGGGCTGAGTTTGGGTGCCTGGGAACCCCAAGAGGCTTTATAGGAGAGGAGGGGAGGAGAGGCCAGCCCAGTGACACAGGAGTACCATCAGAACAGAACTGGTCAGACCCGTTGGGAAGGCCCGGGCTAATGTGTCACCTCTGAAGGTGGCGTCCCTCATTTTAGTCCCCCAGCCCAGGACCCAGCTGCCCGCTCTCCCTATCATGACCCAGACACTGTATCACCCCACCCTGGTTTTCACGCCCTCTGTCCACACCCTGCAGCAGTCAATACCCACTTAGCATCTCTGTAATCACAGAGATGTTCACCTTCACCCCTTGCAACTATTGGAAGCCAAAGAATGGGAGCAAACCAGGCGTTGGGAAGCACCATAATTAAAGGTTGGGAGGCAGGATGCCCGTGCTGGGGAAGGGGGTGCCTTTCAAACCTGGGATGCAGCTGGGACAGTGTCAGCTACTGCCCCAGCCTCCCCACTCGCCCCCACGCTTAACACCCCCCTGGGGCTTCGTTCTTTCCTGGGCACCTCCCTCCCCTGGGATCCAGGCATCCTGCTCTCCAGCATGTCCTTCCTCAGGCATGCAGGGAACTTCCAAGCAGTGACATCTGAGGAATTCCATCCGGGAGCCACCCCATGACTGCAGAAGAGGAAGGACACAGGAGGATATCCTGGTCCCCTCTCCCCACCCAGAGCTGTTTGCATCGGTCCCTCCAGGCTCCAGCAACCTCAGCCCTTTCCTCCCCCCTCAGGAATCCTCCTGTCCGCCTCTAGGGCCTCCGCTCCAACTCTGCTGTGCTCGCCTCCTCCCTCCCATTTTCCTTTCAGTCTCAGCTCTTTGGTCTAAGCCTCCCAGAGATCCTTAGAATGTTTCCCTCGAGGACCTCTCTCCCTGGTAGTCTGTTAGACTCTCAGAAGTAACATGTCCAAAATAATATTTGATTCCTCCCAGGTTGTTCCCCACCTGGTCTGCTACCCCACAGTAAGGGACACAACTGTCCCCTCCAGGACTCACACAGAAACCTTCATTTCTCTCATCCACCATCCACAGCCCATCTACCTGTCAGCCCCTCCACACCCTGTCCAAACCCAACCCATCAACCTGAGCCACCATCTCCCCCCAGCCTCCCCAACACCCTTCTAATTGGCCCCCCTGCTCCCACTCTTTATCCCTCTCCCCAACACAAAACCTGCCCTCCACAACCAGCAAAGGAGCTCTTAAAATATACATCAGGCCAGGTGCAGTGGCTCCTGCCAGCACTTTGGGAGGCCGACACGGGAGGACCACTTGAGCTCAAGGAGCTGGAGACCAGCCTGGGCAACACTGTGAGACCCCGCCTCTACCATTTTTTTTTTTTTTTAAGTTGTAATTTTTTAATTGGAAAACAAATATACAACTTGGAATGGATTTGAGGCAAATTGTGCCATAAGCAGATTTTCTTTAAGTGGCTAAAACAAAGTTTAAAAAGCAAGTAACAGGCCGGGCGCGGTGGCTCAAGCCTGTAATCCCAGCACTTTGGGAGGCCGAGGCGGGTGGATCACGAGGTCAAGAAATCGAGACCATCCTGGTCAACATGGTGAAACCCCGTCTCTACTAAAAATACAAAAAATTAGCTGGGCATGGTGGTGCGTGCCTGTAATTCCAGCTACTCAGGAGGCAGAGGCAGGAGAATTGCCTGAACCCAGGAGGCGGAGGTTGCAGTGAGCCGAGATCGCGCCATTGCACTCCAGCCTGGGTAACAAGAGCGAAACTCCGAAACTCCGTC